CAGCAAGGATAAAATGGATATGATGTTTTTAATTTGGAGTAAAACTGTTTTTCATTATCCCCTGCTTTGAGTTATGTTTTTAAATGTTAACTAATATTCTGAAATAAATAAAATAAATTTCTCTAAAGTTCTTATTTAACATATCCCACAAAATCAGGTTAAGAATTATTATGCGTTGTTTAACCAGAATTTTTGTCTTACTTTTGGTCTTTCACTCAAGTGGGAGCAGGAAAATCAAAGGGCATTCAACAGTCCTCCCATAATGTTCAACGAACAAGTTTCTTTTGCTTTTCCTGCTCCCATCTAAAGATAGAAAATAATGATCTTTCTCAATAGATACTGATCTGATCTTCTTGTTTAGATATGGAATAGTCTTTTTATCATTTGTGGATGGCCTAGTCTCCTATTTCTCTCTATGATCCTACTAAATAACAGTGGCAGTGTTAACAAAAATTGAAAGTTTTTGCTGGTATTCAGGAAATACTTTGTTTTAAACCGATTGGAGAGTTGCCTTCCTAAGTATTTAGGAATACTGTTTGCACAGATTTAGGCAATATTTAATGAATAAGATTTTTCGTATATTTTATACTTTACCTAAGTTTTCTCACTATCTTTTTCTCTCAGTGATAAATAGAAGAATAAACTGCATTGGGTTTGTGAAAAAGGAAATATGGTTCTTAGTTAAGGAAATTTATTTATGTAACCATCTTCACAATATTGTTTAGCATTCCCACAGATTACTTTTATGCAGGACATATTTACACAGCATGAAAAAGCTAATATTAACCAGACATAGTTATTTGGCTAGTTGGGATGTAATTAGATAATGTTTTGTATTTATTTTAAGTGGTAATAGTAAGCATTTTCAAGCACAATAGCTTACACTAAATACAACAGCATTTATTATAGTTGGACTTATCCTTGAATCCAGATCTGCCAAAAGACATTCCATTTTTCTAGTCTCACTTACTGCAGGATATATGAAAATCTAGTAGCTTTTTTAAAAAGCTGTGATAATTTACTCCATACATGAATGCCATGACAAAAATGGTAATTGACTTTTATGAGGGGAAATCATGCTATAGAAATAAATATAGATAGTACTTAACATAGGACCACAATTTGAGCTCAAAATTTCTGTTATTAATCAAGAGAGTTGTTAAGTGAGTTCTGCCCCATTTTATAGTCTTTTTCCCACAGTTGTTAAGTGAATCACTGCAGTTGTTAAGCAAATCATGCAGTCATTAAGTGAATCTGGCTTCTTCCATAGACTTTATTTGTTTGGGAGGCAGCTGGGAAGATTACAGATAATGATCATATGACCACAGGACAATGCAACTGTCATGAATAGATGCCAGTTGCCAAGCAACCGGATTTTGATCAGGTGACCATGGGAATGCTGCAGCGGTTATAAGTGGACAGGCTAAAAGTCACATTTTTGCACTGCCTTTGTAACTTCCAATGGTCACTAAATGAATGTTTACAAAAGGGTAGAAAATTTGACAGAAAATCTCTGCTCTATCACTTCCACCTGTTTTATTAAGCCTTTCAGAAGTTCCAGAAAGATGGGTTTCCATTTTCTAGCTAGTTAGGCCTTTATGAAAATTCTGAAGGTTGAAGCCCACATAGAAAGTACTCAGGTTGGGAAAAGCTGCCATAGCCTATTTTTTAAAATGCCATTGTTGTTGTCCATTGTTATAGTATTTGATCTCAGTGTTAGCGTGAAAACTCATTACATTTTACAATACTGGCAGCGTGTGATATTTCCTATCCATCATATCCATCGCTCTGCACATTTTTTTTCTTGTTTGCTTTTGCTCAGTTACATGGTAACATTGACTCCCTTTATTGAACACAGATATGTAGTTGCCCTGGGGAAAAGATGTTAAGGAAAATGAATAAATGTTAATGGATATGCATATGGCAAGGAACATTTTACTAATGTAATGTTAATTTTTCAATGTCATCATAGTCTGTGCTTTTATCATAAAATTATTAAAGTGTATGAAAAATTCACACTTAGCAGACAGACTTTTGTTTTCTTTGCCTTCATAACATGGGGCACAATTCAAGTTGCTGGGTTTTTTTACCTTTATTCCCTTTGTGGCATGGGGCTGAATTATTTGAGGGACCACCTCTTTCCTCAGGTTTGGCAGAAGAGGTATGTTGCAAGTCATGTTTGTAAGGAGTTATATTTGACAGGAACTATAGGAGATAACGTGGCTGAGACTGAGGGAGGTTACGATCCCACACGCCCACAAGAAGTCTAAGTCCAGCCCACCTTGAATTTCTATCTTATCTTCTGCTCATTTCTCTTGATCGTTAGTCAGATTCTTGTAGACAGCTTAAGTTTCCAATAAATCTTTATACTCATTTGAACTGCCTGAATTTCTGATTTCCCTGAGGACCAGGAGGCGAGCCTGTTCTGCTCTGGCACTCACCCTATGGAGCATAATTCTCCCTGATGCGAGAGTGGCCCTATCTCTCCTAACCTTATGGACAGCCATTAAAACTTGATTGTGTCCATAGACCTGGAGAGTCATAATGGAATGCTGATTTGATTAGATGGCTCCACTGTATACAATTCAATGCTCTCTTAGCCTTTTATAATGATGTTAAAATATTTTGAAATATTTTGAAATTGAATTTTTTGGCTGTGTGTACACCAGAGTTGTCCTATAGGAGATGAGTGGCCATATAAATATAATCAATAAATAAATACGTTGCAGTTGTAGGGACTGAGAGTGTAGCCTGGTATACATTTACATGGTGCTTACTTGAGAGTAAATTCCCTCATATTCAGTGTATGTCCAGCACAGCTAGTGATGGTGAACCAATCATATCTGAAGCTGCCAGCAATATAAAGTAGACCATACTAAGAAACTAATGCTATATAGGACAGGAACTTTTATTTTAACAGCTATAGTAACAAAATTTTGCAAGTCTGAATATCTTTTCCCTGTCCCCTGCCTTTGTCTTTGTGTGAACTGGTAGTGTGTATGTGTGTCTGAGACTGTTACTCAAATTAGTTTCTTGGTGTGGGGCTCAAGCCACATCGGTCTGATTGTTGCCTTGGTAACAGCTCTTCTTTCTGTCTTTCAAGGCATAAAGAAAACAGAACTTCTCAGCAATTGAATGTGGAAATTTAGTACAAAATAACTAATAATATGCACTATTTGAGCCCATAATGAAGAATTATTGACAGAAGCTATTAGAACTCTTTCTAGAAAACTCTTCCTGAAACAGCTGAGTGTTAGGACATGGATAGTTCTTAAAGCTGATGCACTATATATAGTCATCTAAAACGCAAATGTATGTGAGCTCAATTCCCTAAAACAACACCCTGCTACCCATATCTAATGACTCCCAATAATGACGAAACCAGTAATGCTGTGTCTCCTGGTGGTCAATGTAATTAATCACTGATAGAGGTGAAAATGGTATCTAAAACGGTATCATTTGCTATAGAAACATAGAATTTCAACAATACTGGAATAAATCAGTTAAAAAACTCCTTTTTCTTTTCCTCAACATGAGCAAACCATGAGATTCTGACTCACACTAGTTGTTAACATGTTTGCTACTCAACAGCTTGTTGAAATGAACTGAAGGGAAAGCTGGGGATTCTTTCATGGAGGTTAGTAGTGCTGCCTCACAGTGATAATGAAAATCAATTATCCAAAGGATTTTCTTGTAGCTGCTAGAAACTACTTCCTGTGCTTGGTGAATATCAGTATAATTAATCTGGCTGGAATCCAAATGAGCTAGAGTCATAGTTCAACCTATACTTTAAGTGGCATTTAGCAGAGGAGAAAAAGAAATACTTTTGTTAGTAATGATACATGAAAGTCAGAATGTTCAAATCTCTTGAAGTAACAGTATTCAGTTTTCCACCCAGAGTGGTGTTCAATGATAGTAATTCCTCATTACTTCTGATTTGGCCCATAACTGATAGTTAATAGCAAATGATCTATTCGAGTAGGATTTAGAAGCCAAAGAATATGAAAAACTGCAGTAAATAACATCCAACTTGGTGTGTAACCCATAATTAGTTCTAATTCTAAATCAGGCCTGCACAACTCCTAGATAGGGAAAGGGCCAGACTGGTAGATTAAAAATAATTACAAACTACAAATAACAGGTGGCATACTGATCAGTTGTTTGTTAGCTAGCTGTGTGACTACAGCAGTTGGAGCTGACATTGTTTGTGAATGCTAAGGTGTTGGAGGACACTTGTCAACATGCATTTTGCCACAGAAGTGGTTCCATAATCTTGGTGGCATAGCTATCTTGGCAACAGAGACATTTGGCCACAATATTTCAAAAAGGGCTGGCACACCACACACATGGTTGCTTGTGTATGCCTACTCTAAACAGTCAAATTAAGATTTTTTTTAAAGAAGTGAGCAAGGAGGTTGGGTATCAGGGTTCAGTATAACCTATTGTTTTTAAAAAGGTTTTCCTTGTCCAGTCATGTTAGAATGCATGTGACGCATCTGGCCCACAAGCTGTGAGTTTGACCACAGTCCTATGTGTCAAACTCATAGCCTGGTGAGCCAGATGTGTCACACGCTGGCCATGCCCACCCTGGTTTAGCAAAGGGGGGGAAGTTGTGATACATCACGTGATGACATGTTGCGAGTTTGACATCCCTGCTCTAGGGGATGGTGCTCATCAACGTTTCCTAGCTGGGGATTGTGTAAAAAAGTTTCCATGGTCATGGGATGATATGACTATATGTCAAGTCACATGGAACACAGTTACCTTCCCACTGAACTGGTACCTATTTATCTACTTGCATTCAAATTGTTAGGTAGGTAGATGGTGAGGCAGGAACAGAAGCTCACCCCATCATATGATGCTTGGGTCTCGAACTGCCTACCTTCTGGTTGACAAGACCAGCATCTTAACAGCTAGGCCACCACACCTCATTAAGTTATTGTTATATTCAATCAAATGTAGTCTATTTCTCCTCTTACTTTCTCCTTCTTTCATCATAGCTGTCTGGAGGATGTGAACTAACTGTGGTGCTGCAAGACTATGTTGCCAGTCACAGCAGTGAACTGAGTATTCAGGTGGGACAGACTGTGGAGTTACTCGAAAGGCCAAGTGAACGACCAGGCTGGTGCCTGGTACGGACCACAGAAAGGAGTCCACCTCAAGAAGGTCTGGTTCCCAGCAGTGCTCTCTGCATCTCCCATTCCCGGAGCAGTGTAGAAATGGACTGCTTCTTCCCGTCAGGAAAAGGTAAGCATCAACTGAATTAAATATCATCAGTCAGGTCAAATGTTTTGATAATCATTGTTCTCTACATTTGGATGCGTCTGTTCATCTTTTCACCTTTGTCTGCCTAAGGGAAGAAGATAATCTGTGTTTGTTATGTTTGTTTGTGCCAGGGAAACTGATTTCATTGCACCAATCAGCCAACCTTAATATCAATTATAATTCCACCTTCTCTCTTTATGGATAGAAATGATTGGCTTGTTCTTGCAACATTGACAAAAGGAAAATCTTAAATAGTAATTATCATTAACATGATTTTTTTTTAAAAAATGGATAACAATATTTGGAATTTTGAATTAGCTATTTCAAAAGCAAGCAACTGGAAGCAGGTTAGGGAAGTGAGGAAGAAGAAAAGCAGCTTTTGACTTGGAAAAAGAATCTGGCAGAAAAATGAATATGGTGAAAACCAACAAAAAAAAAATCTGAATTAACTTGATATATATCAACTTGCAAATAAGAGTTCTCTTTAAAATAGTTATATCCATCTATCCTTCATGCTTCAGCACAAGAAAAATTATAGCAGTTAACAGAATAACAGAGTTGGAAGGGACCATGGAGGACTTCTTGTCCAACCACTGCATTACCATTTCAGACAAATGACTGTCCAATCTCTTCCTAAAACCCTCCAATGTTGGAGTACCAATAACTTCTGAAGGCAAACCATTCCACTGCTCAATTGTACTGTTTCTAGGTTTGTTCTCCCCTTGATTAATTTCCATTCATTGTTTGTTAGCCTTCAGGTGCTTTGGAGAATAGCTTGACCCCCACTTTTTTGTGGCAGACCTTCAAATATTGGAACACTTGTATCGTGTCACTTCTTAGGACAAGACAACCTGCACATTTCCTGCAACCAGTCAAATGTTTTAGTCTCCAGTCACCTAATCATCTTTATTGCTCTTCTCTGCACTCTTTCTAGAGTCTCAACACCTTTTTGTATCATGGCAATCAAACTTGGATACGATATTCCAAGCATGGTCTTATCAAGGCATTATAAAGTGG